GGGTGACGGCGCCTGCCTGGGGCTTGCCCTGGTCGTGATGGGGGGAAGGCGAAGGAGGCGGGGCTGCACGGGCGTCTCTTGGGGCACAGGGGGTTTAGAAGCGGTGGTGTTCAGTCGCACCGGAGCGGCCGGGGGGGCAGCACCTCTGCGGGGCGTCCGGGCCTCCACCGGCCGGGCTGCCCGCCCGGTTCGTGCCTGCCTGCCGCGAAGGTTGTTCAGATGCAACAGAGCAGAAACAATGCAAAACCTACTTTAATTTTCAGTTATCTTATTGCCCGTACTCTAGGGCAGTGGGTTGTTCATGTGGGAAGGAAACTTGTTTGACTAAACACTTGAATTAATACTTGAATTCTTGTCTGTTTAGCATGTATCGAGACATGAAACTCTGTTTTCACATACACATGTGATATGTGAAAATGCCTGCCTCCTATTTTCTGACAAACCATTCTGTTTATAAATTACCACTCATTTTTTGGGGTGTTTAAAGAAAGTCTGAATTATTCCTTCACAAAAGTAACTTACAAAGATTAATTTCTTTCAATGTAGTTACTAACCAGCTTATAGTAAAATGATTTTAAAACGTGTATACTTCATGTTAAACTTGCTTCTTATCACTAATGTTTATCTCCGTGTGCAGGTACAAGGGTCCCTTGTTGGAGGAGGAAGCCCTGAACAAAGCAGCAGAAAATGGATTGTCTTCACCAGAATTTTTTGAGCTTTGTGTTTGGTTAGGTTCCCAAATAAAGTCACTTTGTAACATGGAAGAAAGCATCACTTCAACAGATGGTATATGAATGTTAATTTATTAAAGCAATTTAGTATTTGTTCAGTGGATTTAGACCCATGTTGTTCAGCTAATAGTGAAATTACAGTGTTGAAGTTTAGAAAATAGCTGACAGGTAGCCAAACTGAGGCTGATATTTGCATGTATGTGGCTCTTAGATTAAGGTCTTGTCTTGTGAAGTTTATTTCAAAAGAAAAAAAAAAGGGTGCTTTTGGGGTTTTTTAGATCTACATAAATATAAAAAGTATATTCATACATCCTATGAGTGGTTATTATGTGTAATCATATTTTGATGGCTTAAATTCCAGTGCCTGGTGTTTTCAGCTAGTTGGTTCAGTGCAGTGTTCCATTCAGCACGGTGTGTAGATAACGTGAGTTGCTCGTTAGCGCTACCTGATTCTTTCTGTTGAGTGCTGGAACTTGGATGAGATTTTATATTGCTTATGTTTTCACAAAAAAGTAGTGAAACTAAAAACAACTATTGAAAATAACAGGCTTATGACTCCTGTAACTTGTTCATCAGAAAATTAATTACATTGATACGCTGTTTTGTGACATAAGCTGTTCACTTCCTAGTGATGTTCATTTGCATTCATGTCTTCAAAGACTGCTGTAGCATCACCTTCCTGTTCAAAGCATGAGTACAGTATTGCTGTAACTATTAAAAGGCTTGTCTGCTTGTATGTAGGACTTCTTTAAGAAGAAACAAAATGTTACTAAGGTGGTTGGTGGTAAATCTTTGTCTGGGCTATTGAAACCTGCAATTTAAGTGTATAACTTAAGAAAATTTGATTGCAGTTTGATGTTTCTGTAAAAAGCCATTAGTTTTGTATTTATTTATTCCCATAGGTGATAAAGATATAGAGAGCTTCCAGCTTGAGATTAGTGGCTTTCTGAGAGAAATGGCTTGTCCTTATTCATCACTTGTATCTGGAGACATCAAGGACAGATTAAGAGAGAAAGAAGATTGTCTTAAACTCCTCTGTAAGTTATAACCATTTTTCCCATTTAGAACCCCATGTATTTTACATGCACGCTCTATTGTTATTGTACAATTTACATTAAATAGTTCTTTATGTGTATTTAAATATATGTGTACAATCATTACAACCTAGTCGAGCATGCATCAGCTCACTTGTGCAGAGGTGGAAAACAGAAAACTGTTAGAAAACTATTTTAGTAGAAACTAAAATTTCTTTGTGAAGTATGGTTCCGCCTACTAAGGCCTCCTGATCCCTCTCTTGATCCAGTTCCAGCTCAGCTGAAACTGAGACCTTGCTTCCCGTGTTTCTGAGAGGTTTCTGGGCAGCTTAAAAGAAAATGCTATGTGATTTGAAGGTGCTGAAAGCAGGATTGAGAGAAGAAAAGTCTAGGTTTAAGCTACATCTGGACAAATCAGTGTGATAATATGAAACTAGCCAAGGAACTAGGGGTCTGGTGGCGGAAGTGGGTTTAGCCGTTAATACGATGTGTAGGCTGAAGGTAGGAAATCAGGTGAGAGTTAGTTCAGATAAAGAATGGGAAACTGATACTGACCTGTCCAGGAGAGAACTGAGAAAGAGGTTTCCCTGTTATCATGGTCTTATTATAAATGTATATATTGTATTTGTATATGAGAATGTGGATGCAGAAATATTCAAGTGTCTCTAAATCTGCCATTATGACACTTTTCTCCCTAGTATTTCTAAGTACAGAACTTCAGGCTTTAAAGATATTGCACAGCAAGAAAATTAAAGGCTCTCATTTGGAAAAGCACAATGAAATTTATCAGGAAGTGCAAGCTATTTGCGATGCACTGGGCCTGCCAAACTCCTCGTCTTCTGATATTCCTCCCTTGTTAACCAACGTGGAACAAAAGGTAAGGGCTTTTATGCATTCTCTCTTGTTGTGTAAGCGTTATCTCTGTAAGTGTTCATCTTAGAGTTAAGGGCCCAACAGTCTAATCCATAAAAGCCCTAGCTGACAAGCGCAAAGAAATTTTTATTCTGAAAGCCAGCTTAGTGTTAAAGTTAAACTGTTTTAGTTATGAGGTGAAGTATTGCAGCATTTCCATGAGGGTGTGACGTACCTGGTGAGGCATACTTTGCCATGCAAAGTTAAGGTATGAGTTGAAGTAACATAGTTTTCCTGTTACCCATTCAAATGTGCTGCAGCAAGCAGAAGACTTTGGGTAATAACTGCATTTATGTACCTGTAGTCATTTCTGGGATGTATTTAAATTTAATATCCAAAACTTAAATTTTTGCTTTTTAGTTTATGAATTTCTTAATTGCAAGTATAGGTGTTTGTTTTTGGTTTTTTTTAGTGCTGTTTCCTTAGTTGCAGAAAAGGATGAAAATGCCTGAATTACCAATAGCCAGTGAATAAGCCAACTTAAACCTTATTCAAAAGGATAGTTCTTTCAGTTTTGTCCCACCAGTTTCTAACTCGTTTCACTGATGTGATCCTTAACCTGACTTCCTCACTGTATAATGTAAATAGGCACTTGGGGTGGAATTTATCTTCTGTGTCAGGCAGCTAAGAGTTTTGCTCTTTTATTTCTCCCTAGTATTTGGGGAGAGAGTGGGTGACCAATCCCTTTTAGGAATTATGAGAGATCATGGAATGAATCTCCCTCTGCTGCTGAGTCTTTGGGTTTAGTAATTTTACATGATTATGCTTCTTTTTTCCTTCCTCCTCCTCCTCTTCTCATCAGCCAGTGGGCAGTTGAACATTCAGAGATTTTGGGGAGAGGGCCTGTTACTTGCATGGTTTTCTTACATCTGTACATCTTTAGTGTGACAAGACAAAACCTTTAATAGATTCATTTATAAAAAGGAGCATCCAGGTGACAGTGAAAATGCCTATTCCTGAACTATTAACTGTGCTTGATCTGTTTAGTTCTAATGAAATCTTTATATCCAGTCTCTCCATTGAGTATTTTTGAAAGGATGAAGAAACAGTTCTAGCACTGTTTTCTGAGGATTAAAATGTCAGAGTTCCAGCTAATAACTAATTGATTGAAACTTGCCTAGTACTGTTGATCTCCCTCTGTGTGTTAGCTGTGTTTACATCCATGTGGGTTTGTAGGCCGCAGCCATGGGCAGTGGCCTTCCTTGCTCACTTCCTTGCTTCACTTCTTGGGTGCAGATTTAGATTCATCCCATGTTAAAGCGGTAGGACTCTAGTTCTGCAATTGCAGGACAGCAAGACCAGACCTGGTGGGCCAGTTCCTTCACGTACGCAGAGAGAGTCTAGAAGGTTTTCATTGAGTTATTAGACTCCTAGCATCTGCCGCCTTTTGCAAAGTCCAAGATTTCCTTTCAGATAGGATCACAGGCTTGAGTTGGTGTGTAGGGTGTTACTGTTACAGATGATGTAAACTGGTACAGTTTCATAAGTATTAAAATGAACAGAATCTTTAAAGCGTGTTATCTTTTTTAATTTTTTTTTCTTTTAATAATACTGCCTGAGCTATTTTGCGATGGTTTGCAGGTCTGTCAGTTCCACAGTGATTATACCACTTGTACTCACTTCAGAGTGTAGAAAGGTGGCAAAACTAGTTCATTCATCTTCTGTAACTCCAAATGAATAGTGTAATTTGTTCTCCGTATGTTTCATCCCTTACAAACAAAGAATTTTTTTCCTACCTCTCAGGAGATTTTGTAGAATTTCTACTATATGTTTCCTTGTCCTTCACCCCTTACTTTAGTATAGGACAGGTTCAGGGTTATTTTCATACAGTTCAGAGACAGACACTTACATTTGTAGATGTAGCTGCATTAGAACGGTGATAGTACCAATTGGAATTCATTGGCTTTATAAACATTTTTTTCAGAGTACCATTTGTTACTTTTTTTTTTAGATTCTCCCAAAAATTCACTTGAAATGATCAATTTTTTTTTCCAAATATTTTGTTGCTTCTGATTTAATTAGGTTCTGTGTAAAATTGCACTGTTGATTTTTAGTATTCCACTATATCATTTGTAATAGAGACTTACATACTAATCTAGTATTTTTATGGAATTTGCAAATGTATCTACAGCATTTCAACATGTCTACTCTTTGTCTCTGTCTAGCATCTTCAGCATTGTCAGTAGCTGTGGGAATAGTTCTGAGAATAGTTTGGCTGTGCAGCAGCAATCTACCAAAGGGACAGATCACACATTGTATTTTGGTATGGAACGTTAGAACACTGATTGTTTTAATAATTTGTCAGTTTATTTAAAAGACTAGTATAAAATTAGGATTGCTTTCTTCCTGCAAACTATGAGTTTTGTAGTAGCTCAGACTTTGAATATGCAGTCATAGGAGGTACCTTTTAAATTTGCACCTCCTGTAATAAACTGAGGTAGTGGTTATCAACATAATTAAGAAAATGAGAGGTGAATTGACAGTATTACAGCCTCCTACCACTAAATTTATTTTATTCTATAGCATTGAAAAACTAATAGTAATTTTTTAGTTGGTTTTTTTTTTTAAGATGCTGTTCCCTTATGAAGTATATTTACAAAGGGTAACTCTGGGAGGCATTCTGAAATTTAGTACCAAAAACCCCATAAATTCTAAATGAACATTGATCAAAGATTTAGAAAAGTTTATGCTGGTGTTGTGCTTTGTAACTCATGCTCACATCTGGCTTTTTTCCAGTCAAGATAGTGTGAATTTCACACCTAATTACAAAGTGACATTCTAATACTGTTTATTTGAAAGACTTCTAAATTTTTCTTGCCCACATTATTTGTTTTCCAATATGTGAAAAGTAGTCCCCTAATAGTAGAGAATGAAAAGAAACTACAAAGGGTTACCAAAGAAATTAAATCAAAACTAAGCTAAAATAACATTTAAGTTGAAATATGAGAAGAATATCTTTAAAAGTATTTGAGAATACTTCCTAGAATTTATTCATATTTAAGTTAGTGTGTTGCTTTTAACTGTTAATGTTTAATAATTTTACAGACATAGTGGTGCCTGTACATTAAGTGTCAGTGTACTTGCAGGAAACAAGATGAAAGAGTTGTCCTGTTCACCAGGCATAAAGGTCAAACAAAAATGTCTTTAAAGTTAGATAAATATTGAAACTAAAATGATCTGCAGGTAAATGGAAGAGAAGCAGAGTTTGGGTTAAAAATATTTTGTGCTTAAGATTTTAGGTGATCTTTCTGCAATTGTGCAGTACACCTCATGACTAATTAAGACAATGTTTCTTCCTTAAAGTGTTGATAGTTTAACTTAAATTAATAAAATGACATCTCTCTCCAGGTCAGGTGTTTTGAAAATCTTCGAAACCCTGGAGTTGCATGCATATATGATGTTTATCTGTGAAAATGGTGTTAAACATAAAAATTATTGCTTTATTTTGACAGAGCGTAAAGATAATTAATAAATACATGGAACATGGTAGTGAAATGTGAGCTAAAATTTTTTTTAAAGGAGCATAGACTTTCAAAACAGATGAGAAATGTCATGTTCAATACATAAAGATATGCTTTATTTGGTAACAGTAGAAAAATTGTATATTTTCATACAGCAGATTTTGAAGTCAGTATTTTTGTCTCAAACAAATCCAATAACTGATTTGTTTTTAAACTATTTTCAAAGAGTATGTGAACTTCCAAAGCAATCCCATAAATATTTAATGTTACCAAGGTCATTGATTACACAGTATGTCGAATAGTCAAATATATTCATCTCCGTCTAGCTTCCAATTAATTGGCTTGCTTTTTACAGCTGAGTGTCTCAGAACTTTAGGATGATTTGGCTGTTACAATTTGTTTTATATTTCTATGAGTATATTTTCACTGCTCTTTTATCTGGGCACTGCTTTTGGTATTGTTCCCACTTACACATGCTGACTTATTTCTGGGTTGTGGTGGTGGTGGCTTTTTTAAACTCCTGCTTATCCTTCTTAATCTAGGGCAACTGTCATGTTTAGGAGTGTGGGTTATAGCGTAGATTCTCACATCAGCTGTATTCTTGTCCTCTGGCAGACAGGTGTATGTCAAAGCTCTTGTGCTCATAGCCCTGTCATCGGTCAACGCTGGGTGATGTATTCTGCAACTGTAAGGCAGCTCAGCTTATTTCACCGTTGTAGTTGTAGGATATGCCGTCAGAGTCCTGCTGATGGGAGCGAGGGAGTAAAGTGGAGATTCAGTAATCTGGGTATGACTTTAGTGTGTGTCACAAACATGAGCGTAGACCAGTTCATCGGTGAAAAGATTCCTCCTTAAATGTTACTTGACTAATTAACCTGTCACTGGATAAAATTACATAGGTATTCTCTTTAACTTGGAAAGAAAAGGTTGCAGAAGTTAGGGGGCAGTTTCCCAGTCAATAAAGGATTGTTTCATTTAGCTGCTCTTGTTTCTCCTTGTTCTGATTTTCACTGATTCTCTTCCTTAAATGTTCTCTCTAAACTTCCTTTAATTTTTCAGTTTATGGAAATCAGGGGCACTCAGTGCTGGGTTGGGTCTTTTAATTGCGATCGACTTGTGGTGGCAGAATGCATGGCTTTTGTATGTGGAGCCCAGTGTTTTATTTACCTCTTAGCTGCCCTTGCAGCTGCAAACTTGCAATAATTCTAATCTCTAGATAGTATTCAGCATCACTGGTTTCCAGATTTTCTTTCACTCTATAGCTGTAAGTTGCATTGAGGATTTGTTTTGGTTTTGTTGTGTTGTTTTTTTTTTTTTTTTCCAGCAGCCAGTCTCATTTTGATAGACTCCCTTCCTTTCAACTGATTAGAACCTTTGAGGTTATGTTTCTGACCTTAATGGTGTATGGATAGACACCTCTTGCCTAATCGAATTTTTAATTCATTTTCTCTTTATTCCTTCTTCTGTACTAATTACTGATTTCTTCATCTCTTGCTGTCATGCTGATCTTTTTATATTGTTGGTTATTAACATTAGTTTTTGATTCTTCAGACATTTGTTTAAATTCAAGCATAGGTTGTGCTTTTGAATTTTGAAGTAGATTATGAGAGGCATCATGTACATGCTTCATTAAAATCAAAACAAGTTGGCTACAGTTAGACAGACAAATCAGACAACCTGGGAGGGCTTTTTGTAAAGAAAATAAAGGTTGCAAACAAGCAAGAATTAGCAGAGAAAGAGAAGTGTCAGGATCAGTGGGGTACATGGAACTGAACTTCACCCCTTATTGTAACCTCTTTTTTGGTATGGATGGAGTATAATAGCAGGGAATATAACGGTAGCTAGATGGCCACTTTTCAGATACTACTAGGCTGTCTTTTCTGCTGGAGTCAAAACACTTGTTTTCTCATAATTTGTTCATGGCATAGTATTTTTTACTTCAGACTTTTTCCAGGGGTGTTGTGTCTTTAACTTGCCACAGTGCTGCCCAAAGGTGATGTGATAAGAACAAAATATACACCTTGGTTTTCACACAAAATTTGAGATCAGATTCTTTCCTTGGTATATGCAAAAAAAGGAAAAGGAGATAATTACAAAAACCGTGAAATATGAGAGTTGATTTATCAAGTATTCCTTTTCAAGTAGCTTTCTTTAATCAATTAACTTGGTGCTCTAGAATTTGATTTCTGTCTCCTAGAGGTTTTTTTTAATAGTGATCACTGGAGATGATATTTCTATAATATGTAGAGCTCAAAACTCTGACAAGATGAACTAAGATAGAACTGGAAGAGTGAGCGTTGAGCCATAGCTTTGATAAATTTAATATAAATGCCTGTGTGCCTACATGAAGTCTTATAATCCTTGCAAATGTATCTAATGGCTGTCCTCAGCTACAGGTATTACTGTAGGTCATGCGCTACCTTAATCCTTCCTTGTGACGTGTAAAAGAAAATTAACTCCAGTTTTAGTCTTGTTTGACTTGGTTCCCCATAATTATTTACAAAAGCAAATGAAGATGTAGTTCTTCTGCCCATCAGACTGTGTGCAAAACTTGCAGGAACAATAATATGCATGCAGCCAGCTGAAAAATCAGTTGGCTGGAAAGTTATGTACGAGCATTGTGGGTGTTCATAACAGTTTTAGAAGAGCTGTGCCAAAGGAAGCTCCTTCAAGAAGTGGAGGTAGAGGTTTCTTGTAATGGGAGAGGAGAATGCAGTGGAGTTTGGATGGCAGAAAGAGAGCATACTTCATCCCTGATTATTGAGGGCAAAAACTAATGGAAGAAGTATAAGCAAGACTGATTTGGAGTGAATGCAAAAGTCAAACGTAATGTTAAATGGAACCAATCATAGGATTAGAAGAAAGTTAGTGAAAGAGAATGACCGCATACCTATCATATCTCCTGCCTTTCTTACTAGCACCCATCACCAGATTTTTGTAGCCAAGTCTAGCATTTGGCAACAGAACTCCTAGCTTCCAGTTGTTACATTTCCTTAGTTGTAGTTACAACACTTAGTAATAAGTAAAATGAGTAATTTAACTCGTCCTACTACTGCCTGTATGAACTTGGTATATTTGCCATATAGTTATTGCTCTGTTATACCTGGGAGGAGAAGTGGTGTGCCATAAAATGTTTTTGTATAGAGGTTGCTCACGTAGTGAACGAGTTTAGGAAACCACCTTTTTGTAATGGATGATAAACCAGAAGATGTGTGTCTGTTTTTATGAGTCTGCTAAAACAAATGTGCTATATTTGCTCTTACAAATAGCAGATTGCGATTGCAGCAAATTGCGCTGAAATAAATGTAAATATCATTTGTGTTCTGAGAAGTATGTGTTTCGTTTCAGATAAAGGACATTCTCTCAAAAGTTCAAAATAACCATGTGGGGAAATCACTGCTAACAAAACCTCTGAATTCTGACCAAGTGGTAAAAAAAGTCTCTACATTTCTTTTCTGTGTTTAACAGGATGGTCAAAATTAATGCGTATGGCTTCATCTAACTTTGTCCATTTTACAGTCACTGTTCTATTGCTAAATATTAGTACTAAAATTGAATTGCTAAATATTAACAATGCTAACCAGATACTTCCAGAATTAATGTTGTAAAACAGATTTTTTGGTTGATTCATCCCCTTACTAACTTTAGAAATATTTTGTATCTACACACTGCTGTAGCACTACACAGATACACCCCTAATAGTATGTAGTTTATAGCGGTCACCTGGGGATCGACATCTTAGTTGCTGAATGGGGTTAACTTTAAATTGACTTCTATAACTTCATAGATTTGAATATTTGGATTCTTTATTGTAACACTGCAGGAAAGATTGGAAAAAATTCTTCGCAGTTAGTACGAATGTCGCCGACGTATGTTAATGAAGAGGCTAGATGTGACAGTACAGTCATTTGGCTGGTCTGATAGAGCAAAGGTAAGCTTGCTGTATTTTTTGCTTCCTGTAGGTGGGAGTCTGCTACAATTCCCCAGGTCTTCCTACCGAATATACATAGCATGTAAATACACTTCCATTACTGTTGTCTTCTTTCCAACCAGTTTCTCATCCCTGGTTGTAACAAGTCCTAGATGTTGAGGAAGGGGAAGGATTTTACCAAATGGCACAGTCCCTCCTTTGTGACTGTTTATAGCTTCACACTTATAAATTCTAGCATCCTCTGTTGGGTTTTCTCCCTTTAATAAGTTCACATCTCCCCTTTTTCTTTGCTATATCCACCTCCCTCCAATCAAGTAAACTAGGAGGGAACCTCAGCATTCCTCAGGCAGATGCAAGAGGAAGACAAACATTGGGCCTTAACATAGATTGGGTGCAAAGAGTGACTGCCTATAAAGTCAGTGAGATTACAGTGACTGCTACCTATCTTGGATTCAAAGCTACTGAATAAACAGATGGTCAGTTGAACAGGTTATTTGAATAGCAGCTTGTATGAGAAAAGCACACGATTACTTGTAATCCTTCAGGTGGCTAAAAATTCCAAACCACTCCTCTGGATTTTCTCTGCTGGTATTGTTTGAATTGTGATCATTTCATTTGTACTATTTCCTAGCACTCTGTATATTAAAAAAATAGTCATGATTTAACCAGTCTGATATTTCTGAGCTGGAAATATATATTTTTTCTGTCCAAGAGAGTAGGGGGATAAGATACAAAAAGTTTGTAATTTGGTGAATATACGCGTGGGAAGCTGGAGACAGATGTTTTTGCTCAAGCTGGGAGATCAGCTTTCCTTCCGAAGGTTTGTGTAGAAAGCTTAAGATGGATAAGTCTTAAGACTTTGAAAGCTTACTGAAAGTATGGATTGTTACAAGTCTTTCTGGTGTCACAATTTGTCGTTGACACATGCAGACAGAATCAGTTTCATGAAGCTCACTAAGTATCACTGGAAAACATGAGTCTAGATGCTGCTGTGCTGCTTTGGAATGGCTCACTATTTAATTTCTGCAGGGGTTGTGAATGCTTTTTTGCTGCAGGAAAGGAAAAGGAGGGCATTTAGCTCACAGAAGTCAGGAGATGTCCCTATGTGTGTAACTTCCTTATAGCTGTACCAATGCAACAATATATTTTCAAATTTAAATTATACTTCTAAAATGTAGTTGATGTTAACTGATGACTAACTTAAACAGACTAAAATTTTAAGTCACTTGATACTATTCCATTCAAATAACGTGAAAAACAATGAATACGCTTTCACAATAGAACAATAGTTTAAAGAGATTTTTAATGATGATGAGGTAGTAAGATGATTCAATTTCCTGTCTTATAAAGGTTACATATTAATTCAAAATTATATATGATTTTAAATCTTTTTTTCCTTATTTCTCTTGTAGAAATATTTGTTTAAAACTTCTTGAGGAAGGTTTTGGGGATTTAAAATGTTTTGGCATTGACAAAATTTAATTTTTTTTTTTTTTTAAGCCAAGCGGTGAATCGTTGTCCTTTTTTAATTTATTTGTTATCTTGCATTTTTTTCCCACCATTAAATAGATATTGATGCCTTTCTCTGCTTTTGATGGTGGGGCATTTTTTTTGTTTTGTTTTTTGTGTGTTTTTTTTTTTTTTTAACTTGTACAGTCCCCAGGAGGGGTAAGTTTGCAAATTGAAATGGATCCAAAATGGTGTAGTGATTGCCTAGCAAAACAGTCATGTAAAGGAACAGCACTTGTTGTCTTGTCCATCCAAGATCAAATTTGTTTTTACTCTGAAGATCATTCTATATGTTCCCAGAAAGTGTATTTATTTTTCTTTTTTGTTAAACAAATGAAACATCAAAGTGTGTTTGGAAAAAAAAAAATCTTATTTTCTCTCTTTCTGAGTCTCACTTTTTCATGGCTTGCACAAGTGTTTTGCTGCATTGATACATTTTAATTTTTTTTTTCCACAAATTGACCCTACTTTGAAGCTGCTCTGTTTTCATCACATTTAGAAGTGATCTGTTAAACACGGCTATGTAAAGCTCTTGAGAGAGCAGTTTGGATTCTTCAATTTTAGTCTTTAGATATGTTGGAAAACATCAAAGAATCTGTTTGATGTCAGGGGACAGGAGAGTTTCTTTTGTAATGGTGCTAAGTTTCAGCATCAACTAAACATAATCAGCAGCATTTTTTTGTCCAATAGCTCCATCAATATGAAGAGAATTGGTAACAACTGGCACGATATTTTGTAAGATAACCTAGATTTCCAGACATTACACCCTGTGTTCAAATTGAAACTTACTGAGACCTATACATGGTTTACGGTAAGTGCGTTTCTGTGTTTTATGCCTAGCAAGTAAGTTGTGTTTGATTTTATCATTTAGGTAAAAACAGATGACATAGCACGAATCTATCAGCCCAAGCGCTATGCGTTATCTCCAAAGTCAACTATTACACTAGCTCACCTTCTTGCTGCTCGAGAAGATTTATCGAAGATCATAAGAACAAGTAGTGGATCAACACGGGAAAATACAGTCTGTGCGATCAACAAGGTATACTTTTTCTTTCTGGGATGTGATAAAAGGACATGGGAGTTTACAGACCTATGAAAAGTAATTCTGGAATTATACTCTTTGCTTAATATTTTCATTTCTTTTTGCAAGATAGCTGGTGCTTTAAGAAAGGAAGGTTTGCAGCATTCCAGTAAACATTGCAGCAACTTCTTTTTTATCTTATTACACAGTGAGTCATGCAACAGGATGAAACTGTAGCCTAGATGAAAAGGAACAGTGGTTGGGGGGCTGTGTGTGTGTGTGTGTAAATGACATCTTTTGTTCAGTGGAACTGCGCACTTCAAGATAAGGATACATGCACGTCTTTCTGGTATCAGTTCCTGGGCTGCCGCTTGCCAGGGTTATGTTGTTCAGTTTGCAAACCAGCGTCTTTAGTTTATCAGTATATTATAAATCGGAAAAGGTCTGTGGAAGTGTCGTTTTGCTGCAAAGTAAAATTATTTGGTTTTCACTACAGTAATAAATCAACATTGTACTGCTTTCTTGTGTATGACAAAAGCTGAACCTTGTGAGTAATGACATTAGTTTCACCATTCAAATAGTGACTATGCCTGTTTTTATTAATCCCTTATTTACAGATTTTTCTAAAGTTTTGTGGCTCATTTAGATACCCTTTAATATGTTTTGATCCAGAAGATTCTGCAATGTCTTAATTATTGTAAGATCTCAGAGAAACTTTTTTTTTCCCTTGAGAGGACTTTAACTGGAGTGCCTGGGACTGACCAGAGCATATCAACATTCATCACGCAGAGTGTTTGGGAAATACAAAAACAACAACAAAAAGACCTACTCGGATACCTCTTTGTTCTTCAACTTAATGTTTTGTGTAACTTTGTCCAGTGCAGTCTCCCTTTTTGTACACTGAGTAATATCCACCAAAGTCAAGATCCCTTTTTTTTCCCCTTTTCTTGAAAGTGTTACTGCAGCATGTTATGTATTTTGACCGTTCCAGCTCTCTACTGTCAGTAGTTTCTAATCGAAGGCAAACTGGCATTCCTTTTAGAGTTGCACATTAGTTTGCCAGTTTGTTTTTTGCCAGCTGATTGGGCTTTGAACTTGAACTTTGAAATTTAAGTAGAAAAGTCACATCATGAGGAGTCTTTTCTATATGAATTTATATTTATATATTGATACATATATTGTGCATGAATTTATGTATATTGCTTATTGTAATACTAACACTTCACATGCGTGTAGTTTTCTTCATAAAGATTTCACAAAAGTAATATGAGCTAGCTAGCTGCAGTTATTTCAGGTTTACAGGTGGAAAATGGGATCACTTTTGGAATTCTGTTGTGTGGGGGCAAGCTACAGGGACAGGAGATAGGGATTCTGCTGTCAAGCTCCACGCTGAGGCGACCGTATTTCCTGCGAAGAGCAGGCAGACTGTCTTTACCCATAGGAGAAGAACCCTGTGGCCCTTCAAGTTATTATTGCTATTTTTTTTAAACTAAAAATGACCTGTTTCTCCATATAGGTTCTGATGGGGAGAGTACCTGACCGTGGAGGCAGACCAACAGAGATTGAACCACCTCCTCCCGAAATGCCTCCTTGGCAAAAAAGACAAGAAGGTGGTGGAAGAGGTGGCTGGGGAGGTGGGGGTGGGGTAGGTTACGGTGGCAGGGGAGGATATGGGGATCCATATGGTGGAAGAGGAGGGGGAGGATACCGAAGATACTGAAATACTGTAAATATTAACAGAGTAACTGGCAAAATATAGTGGTGGTGTTTACTGGTGTCAGGAATTTAGATATGTTAACTTGGGTTTAGGTTAGAATTAAGTATGACCATATGAATCATTGCATTAGACCAACTGATGTTGTCATTGAATTCTTTTAGTTAATTGAACAGAACTTTTATACTAAGATGTGATGACTAAAGTCCTTGTTTTTCGTACTGCTCATATGGTGTTTTTTAACACGTCATTTTATTTAAAATAAGCCTCAGAAAACTGAATAAAACCCTTTCTAAACAAACAACAATATATTATTTAATGTTCAGACCTCTCTAATTGTTGCATGTCCGCTCCTCTGCTCCAAAATGCTGTGTGGAAAAAACAAAGTAGGGCTAAGAACCAGATGGAAACACTTTTAAAAGACTCCAGAACGCTGCTTTCAGTCTTTTTCTCTTCATCTAGTTTTCATGTGGGACGTGTAAACAAATTTTAGTGTCATGTTAAAATCCTTAAGGCTTTGGTCAAAATTATTCTATTAGGTTTCTTATTCTTCCAGAACCTCACATAAAAGTAACATTATGAATTAATACTCTACAGAAAGTAATACAATCAGGTTGTGTGTTCATAAATATATTGGAAACTATTTGAAGGTCAGTGCGTGTACTGTAAACGCAGAATCATCGTGAGTTTTGATAGTGTCTCTTGATTTTATCTGTTTTCCATTTTATTGGTGTTTCATAAAAATATTTTAAGATCAGATTGGTTAGGAAATTTCTGCAGCCATCATGTCTGGTAAGAGTTCATTTATATATTCCTTCTCATTCAGCCTTGAGACATAAAGGTTGAATAAAGAACATAGCGTTTCTTTTTTTTTTTTTTTTTTCTTTTTTTTCCCCTTCCCCCCATCCCCGCCTGCTCTGTGTTTGGGAATCGCCAACTGCCCAGCTAATAACACATCTCATACAGCAGTTGCCCTTCCTCAGTGACTTCTCTCTCTTACTCTGCCAGCCGATTGGTGCGATAACCTAAAAGAAACTCTGTCTTGATATGGTATGGGTGCCTTCTCCTTCACGTGCAGTGTTACTCTAGAAGAAGGAGTTGGCTTTCATACAATTATGGCTGTAAACACATGTAGACAAGAATTAAATTTAGAGCTGTCAGTTAAAGAAGACAGTTTCTGTTATCCAGCGTCTTTTAGATCACCTCCCCTGTTGTGAGATCATTCCTGAGTACAGAGGTGGAACAGGGGGGTGATTCCCAAGTATATGTTCATGACAGTGGTTATCAGGGTCAGGTTACCAGAGAGAGATTCGGGAAGGTGTCTGATAAACGGGGGGGGGCATCTGTTAATTGCATAGCACAGAAACCTTGAAGCACTTCAGTTGAGTATGCAGCTGTAGGCTTAACTGCAGGTTGAACTTCAGGACTTGATTTTGGTTTTGTGTTCCACAGTTACGAGTTTTTTCTGCACAGATCTCCTATTGGTGTCCGTATTTGGTATGCTTTAAAGATGTTATTTTACCTTCAGGAACTCGTGCATCATGTCCTGTTTCATAGGCAGCTTTGTGCATGAACGTAAAGCTCTGTTCAAAATGAAATTTTTAGTTCTTTCAAAAGCCTGTGTCAGATTTTATTAATTAGCCATCACCAACCTTTCCATTTGAAATTTTAATCCAGATAGATAGATAAACTTCAGAAGTTTCTCTCCTGTTATTTCCTCTCTGATCATAAGTCTGCTTGAGACTGCTGCTTGTGGTGTGATAGATACGGCCTTACGTGTACTTTAGGGTCCCAGCAGGTGCCTAACAAAAAAAGGGCAGGCGTTTTCCTTGCTGGAACATGTTAGCTTGGATGTGAAGTCTTGAAATAATGGCTTAACCTCACCCAACTGCTAGCAACATCATTCCTTTGCCAGTTTTTTTCTCCACACCTTTCTGGCCTAAGCTGTTGTCAGCCTCTGCAGTCGTTATGGAGAGGCCCTCCTGGGTCACGTGGGAGCACAGTACTGGTTTTCTTGCTTTTGAGCTTGGTTTTTGCCTAATGCTCTGGAATAGCTCACAGATTGATGATACACCAAGTGAGACTGCTGCCCTTGGAGGTGAAGGGTTGGTCAGCAATGGAGAGAGTAGTTTTTACCCACCAAGGCCTTAACATAAAAAATTGTGTTTGCTCATCCCAATGTTATTTTTTTGCTACAAGTAATTTCCAAACAGCAGTAAAGCATTTAGCTTCACCAAGGAAGTACGCTAGGAAAATCAAATGGCTTATCTGCATAGATAAAGATTTCATCAGTCTTAAGACGTGAAGTTGCCCTGGTTTAGTTGAACTGCTGTAATTGCGTACGCGGACGTGCCTTGGTGCTTTTGCACGGTTTGTAGCAGGCAGGACAGTTCCCCCTGAAGTAAACCATCAAGTGAACCAGTTATGTGCCCACATGTAATTCTAACAGTTAAATTACTTCAATATCATCTTTCAATTATATTTACGTAGACCATGTCAAAGATGGAAACTTAAATAGGTTGGAGATTTTGTTTTTTAATCTGGCTGTTTCAGTTTTTCTTAAATAATTCGAAAATGCAAAGCCAATAGTTGAAAACTAAAGTAAGCACCACCACATTTGATAGAGGTATCCTTTTCTGTCCTCTGCTGTCAGAATGTATGCTTTTAATTTATCAAAAGATGCAATAATACCATGAAAAGAATTGCTTTAAACCTCTTTTCAAATTTTGTATGTTTGTCTTGAAAAAAAGTATTTTCCAACGTTCTGTTGTAAGTAAAAGACTTTCATATATATGTTTGTTTGTGCGCATTTTTGTGTTTATTCACACTTAGTGAATATCTACCTGAATATTGTTTTGTTTGATAAAGAATTGAAAAAGAGGTTGAGGTTTTTCTCAGGATTTGAGAGACACTTTTGTTAACAGCTGTAAACACTGAGGAATAAAGTACTGTATTTGAAGTTGTTTGCATCCCTTGTGTAGTGTGATTTGGCTCCGCTGTTGTGTGTTCTTTTCCTGCTGGTGATTTACAACAGCGATGGAACTTACTTTTTATGATAATGAAAAATAACAGAGATATTTTGACCAAAATGGAGAAGGCTGTAGATAGCAACGTAGGAAAATTTCAACAGAGAGGGCATGTCGCAAATATATCCCTATAACATTGTCTGGGACTACTAAGGAATCTCAGTTAAATTTTATATTTGTAGAAAAAAAATTAGATAGGTCTATATGATCATGACTTTTGTCTTTACGTAAACTAAGGGAATATCCTCCCATTACTTCTGAAGTTTTCTTGTTTTAATTTCTATAATTATGAAGTAAACCACAACTTGTTTTGTATGTGCAAGACTGCAGAGCAGATTTGCCCATACAACTAGGAATTGTGTTTTTGGGAATTAGCCTGCACTCCCTGTCCTCTTCCCTCCTCTCCCTCAGATGACTGAAGATAACTGAATGAATGTTCATTACCCCATCTACAAACATATTTGAGATAAGGTATTTTGAGGTTTACAACAAGGTAAAGAACAGCAAGTCTTTAGGGTGCTACAATGTGTAATAGCGTGTAATAGCCAGAAGCCTTGCTTAAACTTGGCTATCATGCTGTGAAATCTTTTCAGAATTAGCATTCTTAACAGACGTGAGAGGTGGTGCTAATGAAGAATTGTGCTTGGTAACACTTGGAATAGTGAGTAGCAAAACAGTGTCTGTACTGTGCCAACCACTAAAATAGCAAAAGAATAATGGGCAACTACCTAGCTGCCTCAGGCAAGGTTCCAAGGCTGACAGAAGGTGAAGCTGCCCACAGGGCTCCGGGCCTAGGTTAACCTGCACAAGTGTCTCAGGTAACAGAGTCAAAGAAGATGAATAGAGGTGGTTTAGATTTCTTTGAGATACAAACTCAGAGGCATGAAGTGCAATTTTAATATTTTTTCTATTATAAATATTAAACAAAAATCTTACAATTTATATAAAATCTTTACAGTCTGTACACTTTTTCAATCTTCTCGAACAGCATTAAAACAAAAATTTTTCAAGTTGCCATAGATATCAGTTACAACAAAATAACAGATTGCTACCGTAACAAAAACATATTTCCAAAAACATATATAAGCTACTTTAAGGGTGGTTGTGTTTAATCTGAATATGAACAGTAGCTCTGCCTTGTTAATTGTGATATTAATCTAGCTACTTTTATCTTTAAATAATCAGATTTCACACTTAAAAAATAAACAGTAGTTGGGGGAGGGGGGAACACACTTGTTTTTTTCTTCCTGTATGTACAAGAAACACAGCGGAGCCTGGAGTAGGAATAAAGGCAAGTTCTTTTCATTTAAATTAACCATGACAAGATAAGATACATTTCAATATCAGTGTTTGCTAACATGACTTTTAAACAGCACTGAGTACTTTAATAGTATCTTTTTTCCTAGCATAAAGCAGCTTGAAGATTAATACAGATGTGATTTTTGTTCGGCAGCTTTGTCAGTTTTAGCAGTATCCCTGTAGTCAGTTTCTGCTATTTAGTCTTTCACAAAGCAAAAAGGAAGTCCCAAAAGAAATAAGAAAAAAAAAAAAAATTTGTAAGGGGCTTTGGGTGAACAGAGAACCTGAAGCTACTGTGAGAGCTCTGAAATTCTCCAGTATCAACTGACGACTTTGAGGCAGGAAGTTTTCAGCGTACCTGAAGCACCACATGCTTGTTCTGTAAGACATTCCTGCAAACAGAGCCCTTCTAAGTCATTCAGATTGTTTGTAAGAACAAGACGACAACACGGAGAAACACTAAGTATTTAAGACTGTACAAATCTATGGTCGTAACTCAATTTTAAGTACTCGACCTAGTAACACAGTAGCATTTGGGCCAGCTGCTGATGTGAGGGAATTTTCTTTTTAAGTAAGAGTTTGTTCATGATCTCTGCCCCCCAGCGTAGACAAAGTATATGCATACACACAAATTCTATTAGAATCCCGAATTTAGACCGCAAGCAAGCAGTCATCTTAGCTGCACAACAAGATTAGCTGCTCTTTTGGGGTATTTTCAAAATACATGAAAATATATTCAACTTTTATCTTGTTTATTGTTGCAGAAACATTTTTATTTGCTAAATGCCTATTAGAAATACGCCTTGCTGTAGTTCCCTGAATAGAGGGACAAGGTCAAGAAGCTTACAGAAAATAGGCAAAGCAAGTTTGCAGACATGACCTGAAAGCCATTCTGATTGCTTCACTGATCAAAGTGCAATTCCATGTTAATTGTTAATAATTCAGGTTTAGTGTATGAGGAAAAAAAGCTGCACAATCTTCACAGCTGCTGTTTTTTGTCCTATGCGTTTCAGTTATTTACAGTAAGTAACAGAAAATCATCTACTACTACTATTTCCCTCCATTTGTTTTTACTTATACATGGACATGCAAGCACAATCCAAATTCAAAACAAGACTTTAGAATCACTAAGCTGGCAAGTAGTTTCAAATGGACTTTTTTATATATAAAGCATTCATATACTTGATAATGACTGTAAATTGTGGATGGAACATACATTTACACCACTCTGAACACAAAGCACACATGCTATTGTAATAGGTTGACTAAATTTCAATCTATAATGGACTTGTAACTTACAAGTTTTGAGGAGCACTAAGTGGACTTTGTAGATAAATATATCAAAGTCATCAGTTTCTGATGTTTAAATGTGTGATGACAAATCCCTGTTTGATAAATGCAAGCAAGTTTTATACAACTGTAAGTGTACAGATTCTCTTGGAATGCATATGCAATTTTAAAATTGGCTATTCTGACAAGTAGATTTATCAGTAACTTGAAAGACTGTTTTGTTGTCTCTTAACAATATGTACACTTTGTAGCTTTAAGAAAATTAAGTTACCTCCCTAGCACCTTTTACTATACAAAATTTACACACATAAGAGCACACCCATCTTGACCCTTTACCTAAAGTGCATGTGAAATCTAGGAGAAAATGGAGAAACCTTGGTTAGAACCAGACGGTGTTAGGAGCTCTGGAATCCAGTAACTGTTGCACTGGGGTTACTGTACAGTTTCCCTCATAATACGGCCCTCGAGGTTCTACTCAACAATGGTGTCCACTTTGACATGAGAGAAAAATAATCAGCCTTGTCCCATATCTACTGTATGTGGACAACAAGTTATCCCTTAAGCCAAACGAGGAGGGCTAAGTGTTCCAAGCTGTGGCATGGGACACAAAAATGGAAGCAGTATTCAATGTAAACTCTAGGCTTATCTATTTTACCTTAACAAAGGTAAGTGTTTGAGCAGCAGGACTTCTGAAGCTCTGAAAGAGGTTTAAAATAATTGTCAGTTTATCTTAACAAAGCCTAAGAATCAAATAATCAAATATCATTAGCTTAACTACTTATTTTAATATTCTTGTCAAACTTTGGAAATAAAGATGACAGTTGACTTCATGATTTTCCTTGGTTTCAGCCACAATGAGAAGGAACTGTTTCTCTTAATGGAATATTTCCACAGTTTTACTTAAATACTCAGCTTTATCAACGACTTGTTTCTACAAACCTGAAAATGGGCCAAATCTGAGGTGACACAGTCTTATTAATAGCTATTTTATCAGAACACTTGTAGAGTAAGGTGTGCTGCTGGCAGCCAAGTCACTGGGGAATCCACATGGTCTTCATCGTGAACAGAAACTTCAGCAACAATGTCACTCTTTTTAAAAGCAAACCCAGAAGATAGTATTTTCATTGCACAGATAATGCTAAATTACCTTAAAAAGTCAAAGGAATGGATTTATACATTTGGGAATGTATGTTTAATATGGAAATTTGTTGAGTAAAGAGTAACATCCTTCAGGCTTTCTCTCCAGTTCACTTGGTAAAGCAGCTTTATCACAACCCCACCTTCAGTCTTACATTCTTCCACGGGAGATTTCCTCTCTTGTCTGCTAGGAGCAGTCTCTGTGTTGTAGGTTGTCAACTACATGGTTTCTTCTCTGGATTGTGAGAGATTCAATTTTTTTATGTGCCTGTTCCAGTTGGATCTTTAAACCTTCATTGTCTGCCTTTAGAATATTTCTTTCCTAAATGAAAAAAAAAAATAGACAATGTTATTTTATTTTGAATTTGTTTCAGGACTGTCTGGTTGTACATTCAGGTTGACTGGCATAAATGTCAGTTGGTGTAGCTCTTTTATCAGTGGAACAGAACCAGTAACTTATTTGAACGTTTCCATAGTCACTGGTCTACCCTTTGTATATACTCTTAAAAGTTTCCAGCAGCTGGTATCTGACAGTCACGTCCACAACCTGCATTTATCCACCTTTTGCTGCTCCTCTCATAACAGCAAAAATCTAGGAGAAACAAGAACACAGCTCACACTTTACTGCTCTACTAATGCAGAAATTGATGTACAATAATCTAACATTAATTTATAACATCAGCTGCTGTTCAGTAATTGAGGTCAGGATCTGCTGAGGGGGCAAGGACAAGTGTACACTGTGGGACTCACATGAATGGGACATTTTAAAGAACCAGTTCTTACAAGGACATCCACACTTCACATCCTTGTCGATATTGAATGTACTGTTGACTGAAAGAGGAGTGGTCTGGACTGGACGATTCTTGCTAATTGTCTTAATCTCTGTCTTAATAAACCAATCATCTTTCATAAAAGATGCGCTCACTTTATCAACAGCAAAGGATACTTTGAAAGTTATGCTGATCATTCAAAGATCAGGCTGTGGTCCTGTTGTTGGACTGTTTCCATGTTGGTCCATCTCAGAATAGTGATAGTATTGAGTAAAGTATGAAAATAAGTCTGCCTTTGTTCCTCACAATAATATCTGGATCCATCCATCAGTTGCATTGTTGATATTATGACAGTCTCTCTAATCTGTCTGGAAAGGTGGTGTTTCCACAAACCTGAATTTGGGCCAAATCTGAGGTGACACAGTCTTATGAATAGCTACTCTGTCAGAGTACTTCTAGAGTAACACGAGCCACAACTGGGCTGATGCAGGTGAAATCTAGCAAGAGGCATCATGTCTCTTCACACAGCAAAATTTCTTCGTGACTTAAAGTTATCAAAAAAAAGAAGGGATTCACTGTCAGTTGAACAAAAGCAGAGTTCCCTGCCCTCCCTGCCCCGTATATGCTGTCACTTAGGGGAGCAGAGGCCACCAAAACCAGGAAGAACTTCAGGACTGTGTTACTCATTTTATGGAATAACATCTTGTCCTAAGTGACTAGATTATGGTCACATTCTTGCCTGTCACTTTTAAGACTGACAGGGATCACAGTGTAATCATAATAAAGGCTTCAAAATTATACTCCCTAAGCCCTATACTAGTACTAAAACTTATGCTTGAAGTGGAGATCGCCTGGAGTTAAAGTAGCTAAGAATTTATGATGCCACTCATGGATTGTTCTGGCAATTAATTACACTGGAGTAAGGTGACACCTTCCCACCCATCCACTCCCCCACACCCTCCAACCACTTTACAGTGCTGTTGTGTAAAACAGAAGTTGTTTCATCATGTATGTACCTGCTCAAGTTCCTGGTATGAGGGTTTACAGCTGTGATGCTCCTCCTTCATTTTCTGGCTGAAGTCCTTGTTTTCCCATTTAACATATGCTTTTCTGCGGCCTAGAATTGGGCTTGGACATGGGGATGGTGGAGCTGCTTGGAGATAAGGATTTTCTGGCATCCTATGTTCTTTCTTCTCTGTCTGCCTATGAGATACATCACCAGCCAGCAATACAGGATCAGTCTGTGTACCTTTATGAACCACAGCTGGTTTCAGTCTCACTGAGATTTTCTGAGCTGAGGAACCCATGAGCATAATGGTTCGGTCCTTGCTGTCTTCATTGTGTTCCACTGCTTCTCCATTAGGAAATGTGAATGGTCCTTCCTCTTGTCCTGTAGAATATATATGGTAAATTGAATCAAGATCTTATCCCAGGAAAGGAGAAACAGGAGGCACAGTAATTAAACATGAGTTTAATAACTAAACCAACATCTATTCTTTATTGATTTTAGATTCATTGCTCTCCAAAATAGGTGTCACTGGAAGTTTCTCAACGTTGTGTCTCTTGGAACAACTCTTTGCCCTGTCTCAGTAACATAAACATGGATCAGTAAGAGGAAAACAGGTGTACCATCAAGGTCAGCTAGAAAAAAACCTCTAGGTGGCTAAGACGTTTTATATAGACCATTGATCTTAGTGAAGGGCTGGAAGATTAAACCTGGGTATTAGTTCAGTGTTATCACAACTTGCAGCTGTAAGATACAACTTACATCATCCACTTTATACAGGTGAAATAATGACATTTTTAATTTTACACTGCTTTTCTATAGGTCATCCTAAAATACTTTTGCAGTTAAAAGTAAAAATGGATGGACGGGGGAAAAAACCCCACAATGTTAGAAGCAGTGGGCAAAAAATGTGATTGAAGGATTTAAAAAAGACTTGTTTCAGATAAGTAATTTCTGTTGTTTGGAAGAAGACAAAATTTTCACACACATGAGGGGAAAGAACAAAGTCAGTCCAGTAGCTGCTGCAGGCTCTGGAGAATTAAATGAGGATATGGATGAGCAGATGAGGCTTACACCTTCAACCTAGACCTGAATTCTCATTCTTCAACATGATGTAACATTGAGAGGTACCACATTCTGGCACAGTGGGTGATGATGGGGCAACATGCTACAGTTCAATCTCCCTATAAGCGTGACATCCCACGAGGTGGTTATTATGCAGTGCTGCAGCCATTGCAGGTGCAATCACAGAGATGCACGTGGTCAGTTATCAAGAGAAACGGGCTGCATTGTGCTCCATGTAAGTGCTAAAAGGAAGCCCACGATGGAATCCAGTATGAATCTTAAATACAACACAAAAGATTGATATCAAAGTGGCAAGAAGTAGATTGGAAGAACATTAGATACAGGCAAAGAGCAGGAGAGAAATTTAAAGAAAGTGAGTACGGAGAGAGTTGGAACATCAAAATCAAAAGAAAAAACAAAACAAAAGTAGCCTGAGGTCTTATTCAAGGACAACACTTCCTCCTTTGGAGGCCTACCTGGTAATACACAATAGGAAAAGTTTATATAGCTTGTTTGATATGAGGAGAAAAGAACAGAGAGGTGTAGATTTTTCATTTCTGATTAAATGAAAGATGGACTGATGAAGAGGAGTTGTGGATTCAGCTACTGAAGTGGAAAAAATAAACACAATTAGCTCTTGGTTTTCCTAGTACACAGATATGTAAGTGAACTGACTTTATAAACTCCACATTGAAATCTCAGTCAGAATTGTACCAGTGCAGTAGTCACTGTGACAACAATGGTAAAAAACTGGAGTGTACCAAGACCTGCTTGTCACAAGGTGAGAGAGTTAAGGGAACCTGTCAGCTGTTCAGTTCGTGGCATCTAGTTCTCATGAGAGTCTGGCAGAAGATTTACTCAGTTTTTGTGGAATTTGTGCACCACACAGTAACAAGACATCTTCCAGAAAGGAAGTCCTTATGTATTCAGACTAGAACTGGAATGGTGTTACTTGATCCAGGCTCGCTTACGCCTGGTTCTAGTTTATATGTTGATAAAACACTGCAGCTGACTAACAAAACCTAAAACGATGCTATACAACTCAGCTTTAAAAGAAAAAGGAGCAAAGGAAAGATTATCTAGATCTTTTGATCTTTTTAATGTGATCTTTTCTCACCATGGAATTGCTCTTTGACTCCTACTGGGCAGAGGCTTGAAGCAAGAGCAGATGTTGGGCTGCTGTCTGCAACTGAAGTTTTGGGTCTTCTCTTGCACTCTATCACAACCAGGTCTTTGCATTGCTTGTGACAGTTCATTCCGCAGTCTGTGAACAAAACAAAGTTTACATGATTCAGTGGCTCTGTTGTAGCATCTAACATCAGCTCTCACACTGTGTTGCCTCTCCAGGAAGCAAGAAAGCTGCTTTGGTGTTCTCTACAGGCATTACCTGTAACAACATGCATCTGGTAAACAGACCAATGACATCCCTTTGATATATATGCCTAAAACTTTTTCATTGTGAAAATACAAAATAGCAACATTCAGTTGTAACAGCATTCTGACTGTAGGAGTTGCAGAGAAAGCAGATACCTGTATGAGGAAGAAAACTGCAAAATACACATTGTGAATGTGTTGCACAGTTTTCATAGTGTGTTGGTGTTTGCGCCCATTGGAACAGAAGGGCCTGGTCCCAAACCCTCTGGATTCAGTGATGTTTTGCAAAGGGTTAGAGCTATCAGTTATGAGTTCCTTCATCTTTGCATTTCTTCTGGACCATCTGTCTGTCATACTATTCTCGAATCAGTCTTCTCCTCCCTGAGAGGTCAGATTAAATAGGTCCATAGACACAGCATCTCAGGATGATCAGGTTTTTTTGTCATTCACCATCAATTATAGATTAAAATTAACAAAGTATAAAGTATCTTACCTTTGCATCTGTATCCTTGTTTAATGACTCCCCATAGCTGAAATTCAAACAAACAGAAAGACTATGTATTAATATATTTCTCTGCACATTTGATACCTCCAGATATAAATATCCACTGAAACCTCCACTCACTTCTAAGATCTGAACACCTGCAGAATACCTTGGTTTTCTACCCTTTTAATGGTAAGGTCAAAATATGAACTATTTACCTCCTTAGCATAAGGTAAACAGAGTATTTTATGTGTGTTCCTCAATCACAAACAAAATAGCTTGGGTTAGTCTCTAATGACTACATCAGCAGATCTAACATGCCCCCAGACGAGTTTGGAGCTGGAGTTGATGTAGAATTCTATCTCAGCATCCTTGGTTGATCCCAGCTAAACTGGGGATTGGTAGGACAGTCAGTTTTACTAAATCTTTCTGTGCTATAGACAGGGGACATTCATGTCTGTACCAGGACATGAGTTCTAACAGCCCCATGGAGTGGAAGGCTCTGGATTTGGAAGCCTTGCCTGAGACTGTGTTTGGTGACACAACCGAACACCACCAGGTAGGAGACATGTTTAAACAGATAATAGTACTGCCAAGAGGGGTGTAAAAGGTACCTTAAATAGCTACACAGGCAGAAGCCTGATGTTCTACGTAGCTTCACTGATGTTTTATATAGATTCATTTCCGTATAGGACACAGGGCGATTATGAAATAAAAAAAGGCATTATTCCAAACAACGTTAACATAATTTACATAAAAGGTAAGCTTACAAATCCAGCACAGTTGTCACAGAAAGTAGGCCTCAAGTAAGTGGTCTCTTGGAAGTTGTGAGCAAAGCCAAGTCCTAGTTTGGAATAGATTGAGCTCGCCCTCATAAAGTAAGCTGTTATTTCATCCCTGCTAATCAGACCTTCCCTGAAAATAAACAAGAAAAGTTGTTCGTGAGACATACATTTTTATTAAAAGCGTAAGGAGAATTATATATATATATATATATCTTTCTTCACAGTTTCTAATAGCAATAGTTTCATGGGCCAAAAACTACAGTGACCTCAGTAATCTTGTCAGCTGCTCCCAAAGTCTACAGAAGCTTATCTACACATTTAAAATGCAGCCTGTAAGGATAAATGAAATATCTGCATATGTGATGCAACCTCAAAACTACTTCACAGAAAACCTCTGAATAATCACTATTGTATTTTTCCATGCTTTAAATATGTTAAGAAAAATGTTCTTAATTTAATGAAAATATCCATTTGCCAGTTCTCTATTTTTGAGGGACAGGTTCATCTTAGGAAAGTTCTTTAGTAGTATATGCTGAACATCATTCAAAAAAATATTTCTTTTTCTGTTATCTGTTTCTTCCTCCTACATCAGCCTGGTTACCACTGCTGTAAACTCATGAAGATGTCATTCACAACACATTTAGAAGATGCTTTTGTCAGTAATGTTTTCACTTCTACTTGTGGGTGAACAGGATGATTTTACCACCCTAATGACAGAAATAAAATTTAAGAACAAAAACCCCAAAACACCTTCCCAAAACATATGCTACAAAGTGATAAGCAGAACTAGGCTAAAAGAGATTTGTATGTACTCACCAGTCCTTAGCCATTACACAAAATGAGAATGGAAAACTGGCGGCTATCTTTTCAAATTCTTCCTGGGAAATGTATCCATCCTGATCATGGTCATAATTTTTGAAGACAGACTGTGCAAGATAATAGTAGAATAGTTTATAATGAGGACAGGCTGAATTACCACTTTAGAAAGTCTCCACAATATTTATGGATTTCCTCTCCCACTTTCTCCCAGTATCTATTAAACAGTGCAACAGTTTAACTGCTTTTTTTTTTGCTTGAGGCTAAAGCAGCATTATCATTTCCTGATTTGTAGCAAAATACAGATAAGTAAACATAGCCTGGACTAAATGCTTCACTACACAATGACAGCTCTTTTTTAGTTTCGCTTTAAGATCATTATGTCCAGGCCTACATATACAGCTGGAACTAATGCTCTCAATTAGTGCTCTCAGTGATGATCTCTGTAGCCAAATCAGTGTAGCTGCCTAGCTTATTTCATCAGGTCAATGTTATGTGAAAAGTAGTTAGATGACAGAATTGTCATGTGGACACCTATTTCCACTTGTGAAACATTACTGTTTGTCTCTGGCCCTAAGGCAAGGAGCACACCTATGCCAAGTTTAGAAATACATTCCAAAACAGTGTATCAAAGGATACCTAGCAATATTAGCAGCGTTTAGAAAGAAAAGAAATGAAGCAGGGACATAAAGACAAACTCTTTACCTCTCTCTCTCTGTCAGTTTTGGAATCAATCACCTGAGCTTACTTGATGATTTCCAGTAAAACGGGTGACCCAAAAGACACAGAAACAGCAATGGCTGCTAGTAACAAAGCCGTTGAGAGGCCCACTTTCAGACTCCACCAATAACATGATCTTGGAGTCCCTGGTAGAAATGGACTCCCTGGCTCCTTGGAAGAATGACTCTGGAAGCATACGAACCAGCATTCACACTCCGCGCTGGCTCCTTAGCCATTTAAGGAATTTCCTTCCATGCCTCACGGGCCGCTGCTGCTATTTACAGCTAGGCAGAAATATGTGTTTGTGAGGAGAGAAGCGCTTACAAACTCAGCACAGCTTTGAATGTGTCCAGTATTTTTTCCCTTCTTTGTATCTTCTCATACCTAGAGATTAAGGCTAAGACTGATATGTAAGGTAAATGGGCCAACCATACTTACATCTACCATCCTCTGAACATGTTTGCTGATGGTTTTTGGATCAGGTTTTGGGGCTACTCCTGAGGCCCAGTCTGCAACTACTGGTGGTCTGGAGGGTGTCAAAGGCTGGAATAAATTGAACAGAAATGGCCTGTTGGACCCAAAATCATGCTTCTGATAATTACATGGTACTTCAGAGGAAGCTCTTCCCTGAACTGTCCAAAACAGTGGTCATTCCTTAAATTGTGACAGTTCACTGACAGCCCTGTAAATTCACCATCTTTTCCATATTTATAAAACAGGAACAAAACTAGAATATGACACTCATGGGTTTCATCATCTGAATCACATAAGAATTCTTCATTTAAAAGAATCAGTATCAATTGCAAAGATTGAACGTGATGTCATGTCTCTACACAAGTAACTTCATTTGTGTTTGTGTTCATATTATAAAACCTGATATTGTGTCAACTCTCCTATATATTCTAGCTTAGGCTTCATCATCAACCAAACAATTTATGCTTTAACAGATTTTGCTCAGTCTATAAAGCTAAAATGTTTTCAATTTAGCATAAAAAAATAAAATAAAAAATAAAAAAATAAAAATAAAATAAAATAAAATAAATGCAAGGGATAAAAGTTACATTACTCATAAAAAAAAAAAATCTTTTTGTTAAGAATCTGGAGAGGCCCTTACGGCAGCTCGGTGACTTCGTGGCTCTCGTGCATATGAAAGCTCATAAATTTCATCTTCTGTGTAGTAGAGATCAAGGGACAGCTGAAAACAAACACAACATCAGTTTAATCCCAAAACTGTTGCTACTATTTGATATACTTGTTCCTGGCATGCGTTAATATTTTTTGGTGGATTAATTTTTAGTTTAGGTTGCACCTAGAAAAAATGCACTTGAGCTGCACGCGTGTTCACAGTGATTTGAAACGGGTACATTTCTAAATTCCAGACTGTTATTGCCATTATCTGGAAATCTGTAACATTACACATCTACAGTCATTAGCACAGCAGGTGACTCTAGGCATAACTAGCAGTCAGTTAATAAGTAACCTGAAAAAAAACCTGTTAGTCCCTTAATATTCAAGCAGTTTATTGTGCAGCTAAGCACAAAAGCACCATTCCAATGAAACTGTCCATCAACTCAAATTCTCAGAAAACACTTGTTTAAACATGTCATGTTTATCCAATCCAGCTGTGACCCTGTTGAACTAAAAAGTATATGATGAGGATAAAAGATGGACTTGCATGTATTTAGTGAGAACCTTTAGCTGTCAACAGCAGTTATGTAAAGCGAGAAACATTGCACCTGGGTAAATAAAGGAATTTGAAAAAATTATCAAATTTATACCTTTGCTTTTGCAAGTGTCCTAGAAAATAGTATAACAAATATTTTATTGACTGGAAACAAATTTTAAGCTAAGATAGAAGACTGGTAACATGACGCTTTTTGAATATTTACAGAAAAATATTCACACCAGACATGATTAAATAGAAAAGCCACACATAAATGTGTTACAAGCCTCAATTTATGGCAAGTCCAAAGAAAATACAAATTTGTTACAGAAAGTCAAGATTGTGGCAGGCATATGTATATAAACTAAGTAACCAAAATATGCTATTTTATCCAATGTATAACCTTACTCAAATTGCACATATGCAATAACTTTCTTGTAAACAACTGCAAGAATTACTGTTGTAGTCATAATAATGAATAATTTTAGTTCCTTGGGAAAATCTTAAAGTAGTTTCTGAGACTCAAAAAACAAAAGTCCAAATGCTACGATACTTCCATGAATTATTGACTTATGTATGTAATTACTAATACTTCTTCAAACTGATTTGCCTGCTATTGGGAAAGCATATGACTAACGGAAACAGAAGAAGAAGAAAGACTGTTGGAAAAATCAGGGAACAAACAGGAAAATTATGTGCCTTGGAATATTAGCAGATTAGAAGCTCCTGCTTTGAAATGAAGTATTTCTTTTAATTTATGTCCTGTCATATGTAGCTGCATGAAATTGTGGCCAAATTTCTACATATTTGTAATAGCCATTTTTATAAAACATTACTTAAAAAAAAGGGGAGGGAGACTTAATAATTCAAGACAAAACATTTAAAATATTTAGCAGGAAGAAATTCACCACTCTATGTAGCTCTATTACAGGCCCTGAGCAGATGTGCTTAATTTCACACACGAGCACTCCCAGAAAGAACAAATAACCTCAAGCACATAAGCATTTTTATCTATTAACTTTCTGCTGAAACAGGGCTTGTAACCAGAAAGTGGAAGCAGCCTATCTAGTTTTTCCAAGCTGAGGTACTTAAGGCCAAACAAAACTGAGAAACATGAAAGGTAGATTTACTCTTTTAATAAAAGGTAGTATTTTAACTTACTAGGAGAAGCTAAAAACTACTGTTGTGACATACGTCCTAGGTAGTATCAATTTTGTTAGTAAAAATGGCACTGACTAGATACGACTGGAAGAGTAATACAACAACTATATTTAACTAACATTTATGTCAGACAGTTTTTTTTAGTCTGACCAGAAGAAACTTGGCTAGAAATGTGGTATGCTTAACTCTACACATCTTGAGGAACTGAACTTTTATGTGAAAGTTTGTGTGTTCAACACAAACAAGCTTTGTATGCAATCTTCTGCCTCCAAGGTGCATCTAAGGAAGTTTTCTACCTTTCTCCCTATTTGGGCTTAATCAGCAGAGGATTCAGAGTGCTTCCTTAGTGAAGCAGAAACATACATTTCCTTCCTTTAGAGAAATAATTAGAAGCATACTGCTGAACAGACATTTCTACCCTTGCTGCCAGATAAATCAGTATCAGTAAATTTTTCTCTTCTTCTATTATTGTACATTTCCTTAAGGAAAATAAAAATCTTACAATATTATGTATTTATAATTAATGGAATTCTCTACTTAGTTGCTTGAGAGGTATATGAAATTATTTTTAAAATGGAGGTATTTATCTCATCTAACAGACTTACTGTAAGCAAATGAACAAGGTCCATATTAGCCTCCAGGGGAAGTGGCATTTCCTGGAGTTGTATCAGCTCATTTATGTGGTTATACAGAGCGTATAGTTTGTATATGTTAATTTTTTTGTCCTCTAAGTAGTCTGGCATGCCCTCATAAAGTGATATCAAGTCTTTCAGGTGGACCCCAAGGATTGGGATCTTAAAGTTACTGCACTCATTATAGGCACGTCGGTAACTATCATAATTTCTGTAAGATGAAAGCAGTTCCGTCATTTCATTAAAAACCTAAAAATAAAAAGAAAACAAAAAATCAACATTGGTTACTGGCTTTGTTCTGGTCATACAGCACAAGAATTTCCCACATTATTGTTAAGGGGTTTACTCACAATGACTCTTGAAACGGATTTTTAAACTTTAGGCTGAAAATGAAACCTAGGTATTCACCCCACCTAATTTAACTGTCTATAATATATAACTATGGATAGTTAATCTATAGCTTAATCTATAATGCCAATCTTCCTACATTCCTTATTTAGTCAATGAAAAGAAATAGGATCCTCTCAAATCAAGGGGATGTGTATGCAGTTAATGCATAAGCACAGCACAAGCTCTCTGACCTTCATAAAAGCAAGCATCTTCACATTAAAATGTGGAACGCACTTCTCTGGCTTCCAGGTCACCAGCTGGAATTGCTGGAATTGGAAAGTCCTGCCAGAGAAACCCTACACTGTGCTATGGTCCCACCACAGCATGACCAGAACTCTTACTACAGTTCAAGGTGGCACATCTGTGCTTTTAAGAAAACTTTTTTTCCATGAAAATGAAGAAGAAACAATATATTGGACTTGTTGTAAAGGCCAAATAAATCTTAAGTCTAGCAGTATAAATATTTTTCTTGTTTAAGACTATACAGGTACAAAGCTGACTCTTAACATTATAAAATCAATGGACCAATGTTTTCTTGTGGAAGTTCCTGCCTAACCACTTGATTTTTAACCTTCACAAACTGTTCATTATAGTTAAACTTTAAAGTATGTTCTCAAGTCACTAATTACCAGCCTTTATTTTCCTGCTTTCTATTAGCGCTTGTATACAATTTCTTGATGCAAAAAGTTATTCAAATGATGGACACATATGCAGTCCACTCCTCACAATGACAAAATTTGTAAAACAACATGCTTCTAAAATAAATGTGGTAACTGGTTTTATAGATCCTGAGAGCTGCAGCCATTATCAGTGGGAGGTCATATTTCTGGTTTATACTCCAGGTATGCACTGTTCATTCAAGCTGTTCAAATAAACTGTGATCAAAACAGTTTCATTAGATACCTATTTGAAATCTTTCAGGCCCCAAACGTGATAAAATAATAAAGCATATTAGTCTCCTAAGAAGTCATTTAAGAAGCCATTTCATTGCTAAAAAATAGGCTCTCCTTCACAGTTTTAGTAGCCAGAATCTCAGCCAAAAATATATCCATCTGTATTTCACAAGAATTTAATTGGAAATTACAACTGATTCCTAACATTCCACTCTATTGTAACATGTGTGTATTAGGGCTAAGTTTGTTCAAGTCTGAACTAGATAAAATCTGTCACAGGGAAAGATCAGATGAACAAAACCGGTCCTTTTAGTTTTAAACTCAAAGTGCAGAGGTCTGTGCTAGCATTTCATAGACTCAGCATGGTCAATGTTGCTATGGATGACAATAGTTTTGTTCTCAAATGTTCTAGGATCCAGTTATCTGCTTTCATGTTTGAATGCCATTCTGTACTACTGCATATAAATGAAAATGCAGCTTGTCACATCTGAGTATTAAAAGAGAAACTTTAGAGAAGCTATACAAATCTTGAAGAAAGGTGGGGTTAGAAGTGTAGGAGTAACTGGTGTTGTAGAGATGAAATGGCAAAGAAAAACCCTTCAAAACCAAAGGAATTCTTCCTTTTTCTTTTTTTCTGTCTTTCTCCCCTTCTTATCTAATGAAGTAAGTTTGGTTTTTTGTGTGTGCAGTGACAAAAAAGTTATAAGTTATCTTATTTGTAAAACTTACAGGAGCAATACCAACCTTAATTACATCATGAGGAACACATGAGCTTGTTTCCTTGAGTCTGGAAATGGAACTGTGACAGAGACCGCCTATCACTGCCATTAGCGTATTGAAATTCTGCAGCTGGTGGAGCTTCTGTGTTGACATACAAACAATCGGTATTTATTATGTAAAGGTTCAAGTTGTTCAATATGCACATTCAAATTCTACATTTCCTCTGAAGTCTTACAAGTTTTGTGCCACTAGACATTTGACTTCATTCATTTTGGTAATGAGCTGTGATTTTTTTCTTCACGGAGAGAATGGTTAGGCATTGGTACAGGCTGCCCAGGGAAGTGGTACAATCACAGTCCCTGGAAGCATTAAAAAAAGGTGTGGATGTGGTGCTTAGGGACATGGTTTAGAGGTGGACCAGGCAGTTAGGTTAACAGGTAGGGCTTGATCTCAGAGGTCCTTTCCAACCTTAACAATTCTATGATTCTATACTTATGGCCAAAGGCATGATAGTGGGTCATGCTTTGGAAAGGTAGGCAGTCACAGCTTGGAATCTTACTAGCTGATTCAAAAGCAAGTCTAGTTTTTCAGTGAAAACAATTTCTTCAGAATGGATACAAGAAAGTCGTGGTGCCATGACACTGTAATATCTGAATACTTGGTATGAAACCACAGCATACTTGTGTAGGCATGCTGTATGTATGAACCAGGAGACCAGTGCCAACACTCCCAGCTGACCCTACAGTAGTAGCATGGGAAGAGAAACTAAAGGGCTGTAGCAGAGAAAGACAAAATAAACACCACACGTGTCAAAATTTAACTGACCTGTGCAACATGAATGAACTTGATGAACACTTCAGCCCGAAGCTGTGGTGTTGGTCTGCTAAGAACCATTAGCTGCACCCACTGAGAGATACCATTGCAAAGAGCAATTGATCTTTCCATTGTTGGATTCTCTTTCACACAACTATTCACAATGTAGTTCTGATAATCTGAGAACTTAAAAAAAAAGAAGTGTAAATGAACACTCATCTACAGTTTCATACACCTCATGATCTGTGTGCAGATACAGGTCTGCTTTTCAAATGAAATATACAAGATATATTTTACACCTCAAATACCCATAAGACTGAAATCTCTCCCTTGTAAAAGCTTTGTTCAGTTCAAAGCAGAAGGCTTGCACTAATTGAATTAACTGAAAGCATCTTTTTGCCATAATGTGTATCACATCATTTGCATCACATATATCTCAGGAGCCTTGGCTCTTATAAACCCTAGGATGAGTAGAATTGGGGCTTTCCTCCTAGCCTCAGTGGCTCCATAGATTCATTGAATCTAGGCTTCTACAGGGAAGGTTAAACTGAATTTAAAGTGTAATCTAGCAACTCAGTGATCGTTTAAGGAAGTTAAGCGTTCTGTTTATGTAGCTAGGGCACACTTCTGAATTAAGCTACAGTAATAAAAAAAAGCAAGTTCAATGAGATTAATATAAAACTGAGATAAGACCATTAAGAATAAGGGCTACAGATTCCTTAATATTTTTAATACAGCTTGTGAGATTCTCTTATTTAACCAAAGTGATCTAAACTTGTTCAGTAGACACCTGTATGTGACAAATAGATTTTTTTTTTAAGCCATTCTCCCCATTAAGATCAAAGAGAAGCAATCATTTGGTTTTGTTGATGCAATGTTTATCCATTCTTTTGATTTGTCCATTAATAAGAATACACAAGAATTTGAATCATCAGAAAAGGTGACACAGGATTTATACCTCCATTCTTTATTATGACCACTAATACTAACATCTTACCAAAAACATTCATAGCTGTAATAGACACATATTCCTTTCTTAAGGCCACAGAAATATGCTGAATGGAATTGATCCTTAATAAAAGGTCATAAATTGTCAGGCTGCTGTTTGTTTCTTGCTCCCCCTCTCACTTTCTCTCCACTTTTTAAATTTTTTTTCCATCCATTTAATAAGAACTATTAACACTTTAAAAAGCAGATATGACAGCAGACATGTCTGGATTAGCCCCCTTATTAAATTAGAAATGGAAGAAACATTAACAGTAATAAGTAGAGCTGTCTCTGAGATTACATAGTACTTACTTACAATTATTGTTTGAATTTTGAACTCCAGCCAGATTTGGCTGGATCTTGAAATTTAAGTAACTACTCTATACAGATAGATAATTTTTCAATTTCTGGCTACATAATTACGGACTTCATAACAGTTTCAGTACAATTATGAATCAGTTTGATTAATTTTATTTTGTTCTCAGCAGCTCTCTCCTTCAGAAAATACTTTTTTTAAATGCTGAACAAATTTATATCTAACATACTACTTAATGTTTCGAAATAATTTTGGAGCAAGAGTTTATTAACGAGGTCAGCTGTAACAAGATTGTTAGTGGCAGATATGGTAGAGAAGTCCAGGTACTTAAATAATGCAGGAGTCTGATACTGCAATGACTAACTTATGAGCCCCAACAGCAAAGCAGAATCCAGATTCTTTTTATTTTATAACTACAAATTAAAATGGTTTCCAAACACCAGCATACCTGCAGTCATTACTCTGTGAACACCACTCCCTGCATTTTTCTTTGCTGCAAGATACATGGTGCCTTATGGAAGATTTTGCTGTGTGCTGTATATAATCAGGGGATCAAATATTCCTTTCTGACTTTCAAATGACCGAACCTATGAATAGTTATTCCAGTAACTGATAACACAGCAGGTCATTTGCAGCCTTCCTCCCAGTATAGGCTGCCATGTTAGAATAACAAAAGCATTCTGTGGCTTAGTGTATCATGAACACATTCTGCAAAGGGTTAATGAATATAGCTATTTATTAATTACACATTATTTTCTGATCTGAGGTTTTGGTACACTCAATTTATACCAAAACATATGCAAGGACGCCGCATATAAAATGCATACAAGTGTGTAACTGCTGGAACTCTATGACATATCTGACACTCTGACTGCAATTATATTTGTTATGCTTATTAATCATTATTTACTTTATGTCTGCACAGAGCTTGAAAATGTTAAGAGTTACATAAGCTTTGCATATTATTACTGCCTACAGGCAGCAATCTGTGCATGACTTTGGTTCTATGGCTTTTTGAATTTAACATAAAACATGAAGAGTCATGTACTGTCAGCTCAAAATAAAGTACACTAACACACGACTGTGAAATCTTCCACAATCTATTGAGAGCTCCTTTCCTTGCAAGACTTCATCTTCAAACTGTAGTGCTTCAAAGAAAAACCACTAAATAACCAAAACAAACAAAAACCCCTAAAAAGCCCACTTTGCTTTCACTGTTATCATCACACTGACTTTGCAACCATCTTAGATTTCGGTCTCTAATGTCCACTTTTCTTTTCCATGTGTGAACTGTATCACGTTTGAATAGAAGTAATGTTATAGCAATACTAGGATGCAAGTGAAGCCAAGATGCGTAGGGAAGTTAGCATCTTATCAGCTACTAACATAGCTGAGAAAAATCAAATTAAAGAAAACATAAATGAGAAATCCTTAAGAATTGTTTGGGTACTTGAAAGCTTGTCTAATAAAATATTTTAAACCCCCCTTACATTAAAAAATGGCATTTTCTCAAGTGCCTTCTTATCCTTAGTCTTTATTTTGTTATGCACAATCAAAAATGGCAAGCAGAGTCCAGTGGACACCTTCTATACAGACAGTCCATTAGTGACTGCACAAGAATGCTGCACTGTTTCCTACAGCCACAGGAGGTTAGCATTCTAGGAAAATATTCCAAGTTTCCTTCATCCCATTTCAGCATGATTACTGATTTGAGTCAAAGGAGTCTGCTTGTTCCTGTGCCCAATGACACTGCTTGTTCTAACAAAAAGAGATTATTTGGAAGAAGATCAAATGCTCTTTACTGCTCTTCCTTCCGACTGACCTTGCCCCGACTCTGTTCCACAGTTGCTTAAAAGGTTCACTCTCCCTCTCTCAAACGACTGCAGCAAAAGGGTATGTACTCCGAATAAGTACCACTGGCCACCTTCAACGCTAGTAAAACAAAAAGTCTGGACACAGACTCAGCTTGTCCAACAGCTTGCACTGCAGCGTTAATCTTGTACTACCCCTCTCCCATCTTTCCTACGTCCTTCCCATCTTTGTTTAAAATAAATAAATAAATAAATAAATATCACTTACTGATATTCTTCTGAAAGACTTAAATTCAAGATAGGTAAGGTGGTCTGACAGCTCCTCTGGCTCAAGGTGATCAAAAAGAAGCGAGACTTTCCGTTTCTTACTGGTGTTGGCCTTTACACGCTGTGTCAGCTTTCTAGACCAATCCCTAGAATTTCTTTTAGACAAATTTTAGAACAGAATTACCCTGAGTTATTTTCTGAAGAGCAACTTTTCCTCTCTCCCTAATAGAAAAATAATATTGTTTGCATGCCTTACTGCAATAAAAGGTGAATTATTTTAATTTCTAAACAGCAAGCTCCTTTCACGCATTAGAGATTATATGACAAAACATCGTTGTTAGTCTTTAAGTATTATATTGATGTAGCACGTAAGTACAACTATATTACTAAACAGCATGAGATTATATATTGCACTTCCAGAACTGCTGTCCATAATTTTGTCTTCATTGAACACATCCAGTGCTCCTCCATTTAATAGTTCTTACAGATTTCCTTGACCAGCTTCCGAGGAGGAACTGTCCCCCTATGCTATTCACCCATGTGGTAATGAAATTTAATTGGATTTGAAAAACTAAATATCCTCTTTCATAATCAGATATAAAAATGTATGCCACATTCTGCTCTGCTTCTGCCTGTGCATTTCCAACCGAAGTATGAATTGACAGTGCTATACAGTTCCACAGAACTATCTTATACTCATATAACAAGGAAGGTTGCCTTCCCAAGAAGGAACTATGTGATGTATAGCTGTAGGATTTATTCTTGACAGGACAAGTAATTTCATAACTAAAATCACATAAAATAGTACCAAGAGTTTGACAATGCAATAAACTATATCTTCACGCTTACCTTTGGTGTTAAAAATACAAACACACTTTTTTAACCTCATCTGTTACCCAGTCAAAATGTATTCTCCTTTCTCATTGACTTCAAGTGATCTTTCAAAATCATTAGGCCTCTACACATTTTCTAAGTTCCCCGGATACAGTAAAATTTATCTAGCATAGAGAATCAGCACAAAGTCTACACAGCAGTTAAATTCAACCTCAGCCATTCTCAAAAGGCATTCTGTTCCTCTACATAATATATATTTAATCTATAATGATGTATAAACTCTTCTAAGAACAGATAACATGACTTATTCAAATTAACCCACTATAGGACCATTATCCTGCTATACTGGAGAGACGTTATATTTGAATAAAGGAAATTCAGAGCAAAAGTTTGTTTTCCAAGCATATTGAAACTTTGGCACTCACATTTGAGTTGTGTCAATTAGACGACAGTGTAACTCCTCACCATTAGCTTTAACCAGTTCTTGAAATTCCTCCATAGTTGTGGATAGTTTAGAGTCCATTTTGAACATAACCCAGAACTCTGTAATCCAATACCTATTGCACATTGAAAATACAGAAACACAAAAATAAAGGTTTTGCTCTAACATCAGTAAGGCTGAAATTCAGATTGTATTGTAGTTGTATTTCTTCTTGACCAAGTTCAAGGGAGAAATCTTGCTTTTAGATGCTTTTCCTAGGCTATGTTGATTTTATCAAAAAATCAAAATTTCAAGATTAAAAATGAATTAGAAACTACCTGGCTTAATGCTGTAGAGAACTATACTACATATATGTGTGCAATAAATTCAATATTAAAATTTCTACTTTCACATTAAATCCAGATAATATACATGCTGTTTTTTTTCTTCATGAACTTCTAGATAATTTTATATATTCCTTTAAAACTTGGAATTATTTGGTCTGGACATCAAAAAAATGCACTATGCTAGTCAGAATTTTATCCATTAACTGAAGAAAAATTTACTAATTAAATATATTTAATAGTTTACAGGTGATTCAGTCTCATATGCATAAAATATTTTCAGAGAACTACACTTTTCTATGTTAGATGTTCAAATTGTTTCAGTCATATATTTTATATTTCAATTCCTATATGTGACTTGTCACCCATTGTGGTGGGTTGACCCTGGCCAGCAACTAAGTACCCACCCCCGTGCTCATTCACTCCTCCCCCCCCTCCCCCCAGCAGAATCGGGGAGCGAATAGGAAGGGCAAAAGTGAGAAAAATGTGTGGGTCAAGATAAAGACAGTTTAATAACTGAACGAAAGAAAAAAGCCAACCAACCAACCAAGTCATGCAAAGGCAATCACTCACCATCTCCCACAAGATGCCCAGCCAGTATCCGAGTAACAGCTACTTTGGAATGACTACCCCCCGAGTTTTTATTGCTGAGCATGATACTGTATGGGATGGAACACCCCTTTGGTCAGTTCAGGTCAGCTGTCCCAGCTGTGTCCCCTCTCAACCTCCTGCTCACCCCCAGCCTACTCTCAGAAAGTCTTGATGCTGTGCAATCACTGTTCAGCAACAGAAAAATGTTGCTGTGTTTTAGTCACAAATGCAAAGCACAGCATCATACAGACTGCCATGAAAAAAAGTTAACTTCATCCCGGCCAGACCCAATACACCCATGCATGTAAAAATCTATGCTTGTTGGAAAAACAGAAATGCACATTCTTATGGAAGCATGTACGTATGAATCCGCCTAGAAGCAAAAATGTTCCCAGATCACATACAATACCAGAGCATTCTGACCTAATCAATAATCTGCTTTGAGCTAGTAAAATCATTACCATTTAAACCAAATTTTACTTTCCTGTTACTACTTATCTTGCATTTTGTGTAAAAAAGAAATATATGGTAATCTATTATCAGATTTGTATCTTTTTTTCCTCTCTTCTGTTTTCTCTAAACTATCAAACTTTATTATACTTAATTAAAAAAAAGAAAAAAGTGATACAGGATCATTGCAAGTGACTAAGTAGAATTACTAAGGAGAATTACCTACTGAATACAATAGAGTTTTGCTTAATATAAAAATAGCTGCAATATCCCACTTCATTTTTTTAATAGACCTATATAATAACGTTAGACACAATGCTACCAATTCCTCAGCCCTGTCAATTTTCACTGATGTTTAAGACACAGATTCATGCAGACTGAGTTCAAAACTGCAATGCAATAATTCATGCACTGACTTCAATGGATCTGCACAAAGCCGGTTGGGCCTTTTTGTGTAAAGCTGCTAAAGTGAACCTTGAAAAGCTGAAGCAGTATAGCTGTTTCTCTTTTTAATGTCAGCTTAAGATATGCAAAAGCATTCTTACGTACGGCACGTGGATAGCTGCAGACTAATAGCTACCAAGCAAGAATATTCTTACCTCACAAAATAGCATATCTTTACACACAGCATGGAAGATTTATTTTCTAAAGCATTAAGATAGGTAGAAAACTGTTAAGGAAAACCACTTCCATTCACATATGATATGAAATGCAACACGCTTGCTACTTCCCTACCTGTAAGCAAAAGGAATCATTCTACTGATGGCATATAATATCAGATTAGGGTTTTACACAAGTGTATACAAAGTATATGCCAAGATCGTTAGCAAAAGTTTATTGTAAATATGACTACTATGAGTAATACTGATGTAGCCGCCCAAGTACTGAGTAGTGCTAAGTAGTGAAATGACTCTGCTTTCTACATGTGTTTCTTTGCAATGTGCCTCACAATTTCTGATAAAACTCATACACTTGCACATCTTACTAAAATGTGAAACAATAATACCAAATTTACCCATCAGTGTTTTTATGAAGAAATCCTTTGCAGTTAATTACGATTCACTGGAGCTTTTCCAAAAAAGATGCTATTTTCTCTTAAACATAACCAGTTGTATACAATGGTAGAGAAAAATGTGAAATGCCTCTCCTTGCTAACCTCACCTTTCTAACTATGCAACAGTTTTCATTTGACTTGCTGTGATAACTGGAAAGAAACACCCATATTTTTAGTCTAGTGGCTCTATGAAACATGTTTTGATATTGTAGCCAATGTCTTTTGAAGACATGGAAAATCCATTTGGAAAACGTATTGTGCATATCTTGATTCTTCTGCTGTAGATTACACATATATTTTCAGTTCTGCAAAACATATTTTAATGAAAATATCTTGTGGATCCTCCCACAATCTGATTGAAGTTAACTGCAGCCTAAATCTACCACAACTGAGGGGACATACCATCCACAATTTAAGCACCCATATTAAGTTCTTAAATTAGGCTGACTATAGAGCTAGTGAGGTCTGAATAAGTTCCCAAATATTTTGAAGGGCCCTGAACTGAATGTCTGAAGTTAGATGGCTTTCAAATCATCCATAACCATCTAAAATCACTCACGTAATTTAGGGGATGGAAAAGGTGAAACTGGGACATTTGCAAGGTTTTTCAAAATACAAGAGCCCAGACTATCTGATCCATTCAAAACAGTCCCTGCCTTTCAGTGTCTTTACAGGGAGCTATACACAGAGTCAAAAACCAAGCTTGCAAAATATGCAAGTCTGATAAAAGTTTGAATCACTTCTCTGACTCTAGAAAACGTTACTACTCAGAAACATGCAAGCAATTACTTTCTTCCATTTTTCAAAAAGCGCATGAGCCTAAGTTAAATGCAACACTACACCACAGTTATAGCTTGGCACACTTGATCTAACTTCTTGCTTAGAGAAGCAGCAGGACAGTCAGAATCTAACACTACAGTAAAGCTCTGTTGTAAATGATGCTGCTTTTAAAAGCCAGTAAGATACAGAGTTTGGGGGAAGAAAGGATTATCTAAATTAAATTGTACCAAAATTGACTGGAGATTCTTAGCATGTGAGGTCTGCTTCCTGTACTGTGCTTATCTAATTAGGAGTAAGCATTCTGTAAAGCTAAGAAATCAGGTAATACACTCCACAATTAAAAATTCCTAAGAAAGACTAGTATTGCCAATATGATCTAGTAGCTTCGTTGTGTGTTTCTGGCTCATTAGATTTTTCACATGTATGAGTCCAGGCAGTCACCTCAAAATGAGAACAAATAGGAACGAAAAGCTTTTCCGTGCACTGTAGTTTTGAGTGTGTGAGTGAGAAATAATATTTGTTGAAAATTTTCATCTCCAGGTGATACAATCAGAATATTTTCAAAAATTACACTTTTTTTCTTTGCTCTTCTACTTGTATGGAGGACAGAAAGAGAGAGAGAGATCTGAAACTTAAGCCCAGGTTCACAGTACCTAACTGAGGTGCGTACATTAATCTAACACCTGCTAGAGATTCCCTCCATGGCCAATGGAGGGTGATTTATCCTACTTAAAGTCTGAATTGGAGTTTCATCTTTTTCTCTGTGGATGATAAGCTAAACCAAACAGGCAAACAAAAAACCCCAACCCTAAAACAAACAAAAACACACTATACAATCAAAAACTGTAAAGAACAAGTATATTGTTTAATTAGTGGAACAGTAATACACACATAGATTAAATATCTTCTACTTACCCATTTCAAAGTTGTCAAGTTATCTAATATTACCTTAACATCAGGTGAATATTACAAAGGATATAGATCAATTAGTTTCTGGAGCATGTCTGCAGAGGAGATGATAAACTGATGCATGGCCAGAATTATCTTTAGCAGCTGGTTGTTTTGATATGCGTTTCCTTCTAAATCTGAAAGAAAAAAAAAAAAAAAAAAGGAGTATTTGTATTGAAATCTTGGTATACCTTGGTAAAGAACTTGCAAGAAGCTTTTTGAGAATACTAATTCTAATCAGGCCTGTTCACCTACACTGTTTCAAAGACAGCAGTAACTTACTAACTTAGGAAGTGCAGCATTTTTCTGATGAGAGCTATATAACAACAACTATACTTCACTACCATGATTTGGAAGACCCTTAGCCAAAAAACAAAACAAAACAAAACACACACCAAAAAAACCCAAAAGCAAAAAAGGCAAGTAAAAAAGCAGCTGTGTCCCAAAAGCACTCATAATATCTAGATAATTATACATAATGATCTCAGCCCAGCAATGCACTTAAATGCTTAGTCTTAGGCAGATAAGTATAACCTTTGAAACAAATTAATGAATTGCGGAGCAAAAGAATTCCGTTAGTGATCCATACCAGTCAGTCAGTGGCATGACTGAACTTATCAAACAGAATGGCAATATTCTTAAGTGTTTGTGAGGGTTTTTATACAGCTGATACACATAATGCTGAAGTACATGCACAGGTTAGGATCTATACCCAGATGCGTATGGAACGAGATGTAACGTGTGCAGAAGCCCAGGGGTTAACCTATGTGTACTCCCTGTGGTGGACCTAAATGTCCTAATACATTCCTTTGAACTATGCATTACAAGGATTTCACTTGAAGAAGGTTTTTAGACTACGTCTGTCTTGTAGGTCTTGTGGGTTTTTTTCCATATTCAGAAAAGATCAAGGACATCAAATGTAGCAGAATGTTTTAAAAAGTTTCCATTTCTGTAACAAACACAGTAGTGAAAGTGTTTGTAAATATTAACAGATGATGTTTTTCTACAGCCTGCCATGAGAAAACCTAAGTAGCTTGAACTGGAATTAGACACCCTTTCAAACACAAAGGAAAATCTACCTTTTTGAATAATTTTAAATACATAGTCCTCTATGAGGATAAACGTAGTTATCATGTAAAATAGCAATAACAGGAACAATATACAGAAGCAATGCAGAATAAGGCAAAATGGAAGAGGTAGGTGAAACAGCAGATTTGCAGCACCTGAAATAGCATTTACTACTAGAGGGGGGAAAAAAAACCAAACAAACCATTTTTAAATTGCACAACACCAAAAAGGAACATTAAACTTAGCCCACTTGCAAAACAATATAATCGATGTTAGTCACTGAGCAAGAGTTTCCATGCCCTTCTACAGGAAGGTACCAAATGTGAAGACAGAACCCCAGAGCCCAGGCCTTTCCTTTTGAACAATACATTGGATCTTTGGTAGAACTAATAAAATCTGATTTCCTCTAGATCTGTCTCTTCTGTTCTTCACGCCACAATAGTCCTATTCGTGCCCTTTATCACTATACTCTCCCCTGAAACTCTTTTCCTTCTCTTCCCCACAATAATGCCATAACTCCTCACTCATGCTTAAAGCTATCAGCTACACAAAAGCAATACAAGCTGTGGTTGAATCCAGGCTGACTGGCCAGACAGCAAATCAAAGCAAACCAATGCTGGGCTCACACAGCTGCCCCTACACCAATGTGGGCACTGGTCTGGATGTCTCTTCTTCTACACAAGCAATTCTTCGAGATTCCTATCCTTTCCATCAAATTTAATTTAAGCTGGCAGACAGGCTGACTCTATTTCATGCAGAGTATGGAATCATGGAATCGTTAAGGTTGGAAAAGACCCTTAAGATCATCGAGTCCAACCATTAACCTAGCACTGCCAAGTCCACCACTAAACCATGTCCTCAAGCACCACGTCCACCTGTCTTTTCAATACCTCCAGGGATGGAGACTCAACCACTGCCCTGGGCAGCCTGTTCCAGCACCTGACTACCCTTTCAGTGAAGAATTTTTTCCTAATATCCAACCTAAACTTCCCCTGGCGCAGCTTGAGGCTGTTTCCTCTCGTCCTATCGCTTGTTACTAGGGAGAAGAGACCGACCCCCACCTCACTACAACCTCCTTTCAGGTAGTTGTAGAGAGCAAAGGTAGTTGTAGAGAGCCAAGAGTAGATGTAATTCAGTAGGAAGGTGACTCAGAATGGCCTAGATCTGTAGTTTACAAGTGAAGTTATTGTTTTAGCTGACTGTTTGAAGCCCTGAAAGCAGAGGACGTTCTGGGTATCATATATCTGGTGTGGGTAACTTCATTCTCCTAGCAACAGCATACTCAGTTTGGAGGAAACTCAATACAATAAACAGTTTTGAAATATCTTACTACAGCCAGCCTCTCAGGTAAGACAAGCAGAAAAATCCTGATCAGTAAATTCTGGCAGAGCCTATATGAACATGCAGCAACCCACTCAGCACTATCAAGCCCAGAATGAGAACTTCATGCCTCAGGTGATCTTCAACACTGAAGATGAGAAAACATTTTCTCTATCTACCTTCTGCGGTTACACTTAAATTATAAGGAGCAATTCTACCCACAGCGATACGGATGAAGGGAAAGTCAGTGTGTCCTACAGCCCCATAAATGAGAGCAGTATAGACCACAAGTAACTAAAAGTTCTTGAACTGCCTTTTGACTTGTACTACAAGTTCTCAGTTTTATAGCATGAACCGAAGTTTATGCATTCCTTGTTCGTGTTCTCACAGAATTTCAGTCATTACCTAAAGAATCTTTCTGGGATATAAACTCCCTATGTATTACAGCAGGTGCACTGAGGGCAAAACAGCGAGTATTCAGCCAGGGAAGTGAGAAATTTGCAGAGGAAGGCTGGGACATCAGGAATCAATATTTATTCAGGCTTTTAGTGTTTGGCATTTTGTACTCTTCCAGTGTCTTCAGGAAGAGTGAAATTATTTTAGGCCTTGCATACAGAGGCCTGTATCAATTTTCATCCATTTTACAAAACTTGGTGTTCTGCCAGAACCTCCATCCAACAGCTCTTGTTTAATCAAAAAAGCAGTTCAATATATGCTTAACTTGGAAGCCAAATGGTTATGTGCACACATACTATTAAGTATATACAGCTGTAATTAAATCACCAGCTTTTCAGAAGTGCTCAATATAGATCATCTCCAGCTGACAAAGACAGCAAATAACTTTCTCAGAGCAGTTTCTCCTCTGGTCGTATTCCAAAATCCTCTGCCGTGACATAACACAGGTACCATTTGGCACCAGGTTCAAGACTGAATTTCTGTCCTCCAGAAGGTCTCTTCCACTTTACAAAGATGCAGAGAAAAACAGTATGTTCTGCCTACTATTACTGATTAGGTCAACACATTTATGGTATTTTCTTGCTTCACATTTATGCTTCACAACATCCAGACCTAACTATCTCACAACAGAGGTAGACTTCATTACAATGACATGTAATTATTTTGCACACATTAAAGCGGTACTAAGTTTTATGCTATCCATTCCCTCACCTAACTAAAAGCCTCATGTCCACAAAGAAAAACATTGTATTAGTGATGGTCTAAAAACCAAAATAAGCAGTCTGCAGCAAAAAATCTTAAGGTTCCCAGTACAGTTCAGCACGGAACAGCAAGCCTGCATGAATTGTAGCAGCACACGATTTTACAAACACATGCAGTACCAAATATTTAATGTCATCTTCCTGCCCAGTTTTAAAAGGAAGCACTTTTTAAGTGCATACAGCATGATATAGCAAGTGTTACTAAGAAGAAAAATATCGAGTCTGATACCACTTCCATTTTTATTTCACAAATTCATAATTAAAAAAAAAAATAAAATCTATGGAGTTAAACTGGTAAAAATGGCCCTTAGATGAGAAGAGACTCCAGCTCAGTTTTGGTTTCAGAACTGTCACTGGGTCTTTCACATCTCTGACCACTAGGTCACTTCTTTTCAGAGAGCTAACCTGCTAAACATAGCTGTGTGTAAGGAAGTAACAGAAGTTATGGTAAACTATCTTTGTGCAAATGGTGGAGCCAATAAGAGGGCTTTCCTGACTGTGTTGCAAGAGTGCTTCTGAATGCCTCTGCAGCATTCTCTTGAACCTCCACAGCAGTTTGTTTTAAAACTTTGAGACTCATTTTCATTTCCGTTTGTATACCTGTTTCTAACCACACACTCTGCTGAGCAAAAACCACCAAGTGAATACTAAATACAGTGGAATGGGTGTGTTTCAGTTAGTCAATTTACCTTAAAGAAAGCTGCAAAATACTGCATAAGCCTCAGCTTTATTTCACTGCAGCAAAATACAAATAACCCACTGGTTACATGCTTCTCCTCCTGTAAATGCCCTTATTGTACTAAAGTGTTTTAATAAATATTCTCTGAAACAAACAAGGAAGCAGGAGTTGAATATACTTTTCCAGTATTTAACTACATGAGTGAAAGCACAAAGACATTTAGGGCTAAATATTGTATTATCTATGTAGTAACACAAAGCCACTAAAGACTACAATTACAAAAGTTCCATTGCATATGTGAGACTCGGAACACACAAGGTTAAGAACATCCTCATCTAGGCCCATCAGCCACTCCACTGCACGCTCCATTGGTGGCTCCCTGTGATCTGTGATTTAGAAATAACTGAAGCATCACTTGTTCCTAGAATAGTTGAAAGAGTCAAAGTACTCAAAAGCCAATAAGCAAGGCTTTAAGAGCAAACTGCCTGCTTTTCACCAGGTCCTGATGTTCACCAAGCCTGTGGTAAATATACTTAACAGAAAGAGTATGTTCCATAGACAAGATTGTTGTACTGAGACCTTCCCACTCATGAGTGCAATGATAAGGCAACACGAAGAGTGCCAAGGATGTCTTAACTGAACTGACTTTTGCAGGAAAGAAAAGTTAGTTTTTCTAGGTCTAAGAGGCCTTTATTTCATAAGCATTGTCTTTATCTCTTAAGCAGGTTCCAACTCTATCACCTAATGTACAATGTGAAATGAATCAGAAGTGAATCACAGAGCACTGACATCACGTGATCAGTGACTAAGCTACTAAGAACATCAATGACTTCTTGTAAACTCCCTGAAGTCT